AAAAAAAAAAACTAAAAATCAGCTGACCTTTGAAATATTTTCAGAAAGAAAGCACAAGGGAAGTGGAGATGAAGGCGATGAGGGCCACGTTATTGATACCGAAGGTATATTGCAGCAGTGAATCTCACTATTCTTGTCTCTTTTCTCGTTTTTATGCCTTTTCTAATGTTTTTTAGCCTTAGGCATTCCTTGTTTTAGTGGTGAATGCATATTTATTTACTCGCCATATAGTCTGTAACTGCAAGCTCATTGATAAATATCCCTCATCTCTCTCTTTGCTCGATCTCGCTGCCTATAATCACAAAGCATACGCACAGCAGCTGACTTTCTAAAGCATTCATTGCTTGCCATGTCCGTTGCTCAGCCGGTTTCTTCTGTTATAACGGGTCTTACTGCTTCAGGGATTCCTATCATACAGGGATATGCTGTAACTGAAAATGTTAATTCTGGGGTAACTGAAAGGGAGATTTCACCAGAGGTTCGTCCAAGGTTAGTAGAGTCCGAAACTAAAGTCGCTGGAAATCTTGAGACTTCTGAAAGTACTATAAAGACTGAGACGGTAGAGACTAAATTAACAGAATCTTCCTTGCACGGAAGTAACGAGGAAGATGAAAAGATTACGGGTGACGATAAGCCAATCGCAAGCAGTGAGCAATTTGAGCGTAAAAGAACCGCTTCACTTGCTGCTGCTCTCCTTTCCGCAGAGCACGCCCCCGGTCATAAAGCCTTTGTACACTTTGTTAGACCATCTGGTGATTCGACCCTTATAGAGTGTGAAAACGCTGACGATAATTCTGAAAATCCATTACCAACAGCTGAAAATATAATCGCTAATCTATTGCGTACATTAAAAGTGCTTGAAATGAGCGATACTGATCGCTATACAAGTGCATTGCAACGTTTGCAAGATCTAGAACAAGAGCTGCGTGCTGCTGGTGCTATATGTCCTCCTGATTCCAAAATATTAGATTCTGTTGCTAAAGCAATATCTGATGCTCATCCGAACGCAGATGTTCAAATTCGCTACAATACTTCTCGTCACACTAAATCAACTAAAACGGTTTTTGAAACCGAAACTCCTGCCATGGAAGGTTTAGATGCCCAAAATATTCAGCGTCTTCACCAACAGCTTATCGACAATCTAAGTTAGCTGGTATTTTGTGTGGTAACGAAGTATTGCATGTTCTCGCATATTTTACTAACGATAGTGCACAAACTATATTTTTTGCACTGTAAATAGAAGGCTTTTTGTTAATCCATTGCTTTAGATTGATCTTCTAATTGCATTGCTTGTACTGCTCGTTTTTGCCCTTTGAGCACTACGTTTTTCAGGTACAACGACTGCAGCACAAAAACCGCAGCAGGAAGAATCTCCTTCATCAGGTAAATTATTTCAGTTTGGATATGGTTAAGAGTCAATGTCAAAATTCTGGAGTCTTTCTGTTGGTATTTCAAAGTAGATATTGGTTTGAATTTTCAACAGAAATGTTGCTATTCAAAGTAAATTTCGAATTTAGCGCTGTTTTCTTGTGACCATTTCTTAAAAGTTAATATCTGCTGAAAATAATTGCAGCACTGTGGCGTTAGTTTTTGTCTTTTGAACAAATTTCTACAATAATTAATTGTGTTCTGTGCGTTTGTTCAGTCAGTTTTACGTAGAGCGTATTTGTTAACAGAGGAATGTACGCGTTTTTGTTGTTTCGGAACGTAGCAAATGCTTATTTTACAACAGCTGCACTTTGTGAAAAGTTACTTTCGAACACAGCGAAAGCAGCTGTTTTTATTCTACTAGCAGCACTGTTTTTGCGTAGAAATAACCTTGCTGAAAATTTGAAAAGATTATTTATAGCTTTTTTTTTTGTCTAAGTAGATTTTTTTGAAGCAAAAGTTGCGGCAGCAAAGGGAGAGCTGACGGTGTTTTTAGATAGGATGCAAAAGTTGTTTTTCAAATTATGGAAGTTAACTGCATTAACAAAATTTACCGAACACTGTATTACAAAGTCTGCCTAAAATCATATTATTGAAACTAGAAATGGAGGTTGGGCTTTTGTATGCGTAGCTAACTTGATCCTTTTTATGTTTTTAAGTGGCTTTCAAGGGTTCTATCGTTTTGTCGTGAAATTTTATCTTTTTCTTTATTATTTTTGAATCAACTCTGACTTTCTAAATGTACAGCTTTGAAGAGACTGGGCTGGTGATTGAATGTTTTGCTTTTTTACTGTTGAATTATCAAAACTCGAAAGTGTTTTGGGCTTTAAAAGTTGATTTTCAGTGACTGATCAAAAGCATGAAAGTGCAGCAGAGGGCTTCACCAGCCAGGATGGATCGGTTGTTGTTTCGAAGAAAATGACGCGTATCGTAACTACAACAAAAACAACGATTCCTGGTTTGTCTATCAATTCTGGTTCTCCTCTTTAACTCCTCAAAGTACTAATGGAATAAAAAACTGCAGTGGCGATTTGAAAAGTAACTGAGAAATGTTGTGCGTAAATAGTGATGTTAGGTTTACCTTTGAATATATTTGTGGGTTATGGCACACGAAGCTTTGATAAGCATAGGTGGTGAGGTACAGTAGTAAGCTAAGCTTCGCGTCTCTTATTTTTCAGAAATATGGTTTGGACCGAGTTGAAGTGACTTCACCGGACCACCACACCGTTCAGTTTTGTTAAGTAGCTTGCTCGCTTGGATGCTCACTTCAAAATAATCATCCTCAGAAGCCATTTGATAATCACTTTACCTTTCTGAAATTTTCTTCCAGAACAAGCATTTATTAGACTGTTTTTTAAGTTCCTCTGGTTGCACTATGGGTTTTGGTTGCTTTTTGCCCTGGTCGTCAAGCACTTTTTTTTTTGTAATGTTTTTGTTTTCGCTTTTTTGCCAAGCGGTTTTACTGAGGATTGCTATTTTTTGCCCGTCCCTGAAAAATAACATTTTTTGGCTTCGCTGTCTTGTCCAGTTTTTTAAGTGAATTTTAGTTTAGGAAACGAGTATCCTTCGGCAACTAAGTTTTCTGCTTTACTTGAAGGTCTAGTTGGAGGTATTTATTAGGGAACTTTCCGTTAAGTTTTTACGACTGCTCATAACAGTTTGCCTTGATGTAGGTTCAAATCAAATTTTAAACGCTAAGTGAAGTTTGTTGAGAAAGCAAGTTTTTTTGATTTTCATGGAAATAGTTACTGAGAGGGGTTGCAAATGAAGAATGGATGCCAGTATAGAAGAAAACACAACTTTTTTAGCAATAAAAATTCAAACACGGGTTTCTGTTTTCCTAATTCCCAATATGTTTAAAAACATGCTTTATTTATTTGCTTCAACACTACTTTTCGCGGTGCTTTCTTACAGATGAATTTTTTGCAGGAGAACCGGAACAGAACGCTGGTGAGTAGCTGAAAGTGTCTTCTTCAGTGCAGCTTGCATTTTGTACTGCTTTAGTGATAATGTTGTCTGCATGATTGTTAGAGCACTGCCATTCCAGTCAACTTTCAGAAATGAATGTTTTGCGGTTAATAAGTTTTAGTTTCGACTTTACTTTTTTCTTTTGACCTGCTTTGCCTGGTTCAGTTGAATACACAGCTTTTGTTATTGATGTTGTACAAAAAATATTCCCTCTTTTAATTGTCCTCTGTCTGATGCCATGTTTGTCTCCTGATTTGCGCAATTCTGATTGGGCTTCAAGAATGAAGATGATTGCTGATACCGCAAAAAAAAAAATTAGTCTTTATTTTGGTTGTATTCGTTCAGGCGACCTGATACGACTAAAAGTGAACGAACAAGTTTATTCTGGCACCGTTGACCCGCAGGATCAACATATCCATCTTGTACCCATCATTCAGGACTTTGCACAGCCACAACAGCAACAGCAGCATCAAACACAGCAACCTCAGTAAAAGCAATCAAAGCACTAAATCCGACAAAATAGAAACCTACGATCAGATGCTTTTTCCTTGTGTTGCTCTAAAGTTTTAACTTTTTTGTTTTTGCACTTCTGAGACTTGCCTTTCTATTCTTCTTCGCATACTGATTGTTCATCTTTTTTGGCATGGAACTTAATTTTGTTGCAGCGAAAGTGATGATTCATTGTAACTGTGGTTGTGGAACCTTATTTTTCCAGTTGGTGAATATAAGTTTTCATTCAGAAAGGTGAAGTTCAGGGAAATTTATGACTACCGATGCAGTAGGGAAGAAAGTATTGTTTTTTGCTAATTGTACGCCTAAATGCCTTTTGAAGTCTTCAATTCTTTGTGTTCTAATCTTTGGTGTAGTTTTTCTTCTTTTTTTTTTCTTGTTGGGATAGTATAAGCACTGTACAAACATTTAGCATTTTATGAGCAATCTTCGAATTTTCTCGGTTAGAGCTTTTTTAAGAGTCAAGAGAAGAAAAAAAATATATTGGTCTGCTTTCAAAGTGTTAGCGTAGCTCGCCTTTTGGGTTTTTCTTTTTCATTTGGTTAAAAGAACAGGACTTAACCACCTGCAATAAATATGGATTTAGAGGAAGGGAGTATACAAGGCCTTTGTTAAACGTCTCAGTTATATAGAG